TTAACAAGAGAAGCTGTTTAGTACCTTAAATTAAAGTCATGTTTGTATTTCCTTAAAATTACTTAAAAACATAACGAAGTCTAATCCCTGGGCAGTGCGGCTGCAAACTCCATCTCACCCACGACGCCGGACGGCTGAGTGACGTCATTACGTCGCAGAACCAGGCAGCTTCCTGTTGAGTCTGCGACTTGTTTTATAGTGTTTCTTAGCTGTCTTGTTGCAGCCGCCCTTTGCTTGGATGAGATGAACCCCTGGGGCGGAGAGCTAGAGGAGGGGGCTGAGCATTAGTATTGTAATCTGGTGAGATTCAGATTTGCTTTATTTGTACCTTTTCAAAGAATGTCACAAGTGACCAGAGCCTGGGCTGAATTACAATAGAACCGTCTCCTCAGTCCTTTCACAACCATTAGTTGTGCTGATCAAACGTCACAGCCTGGGACATGTTCTTCAGCTCAGGTCTGTGCTGCAGTTGCCTTCATTCACCAACTCCTCCTAAGTCTGTCCCATAACGCCGTGCCCAGCATTTGGCACCTCTTCGGGGGCTTAGCTCAGTTTTGGAAGGTAAAAGTCACCTTAAGATTTTGTAAGAAAAACTGGAACTATTGCTGGGTGGGAAGGGGAGATTATCTGGCTGAGATCCTGTAGCGTGTTGCTGGGCAAGTTCTTATGGGCTGCATGGTGCCGCCTGGCTTCCACTGAGGAACGTGTTACATGCCTTAAGTACAGCTTTTTAGTTACGTTGTGGTGGAGTGGCATAAATGGAACAACCCAGGTAATTACCGGCCTGTCAGCCTGACATCGCTCCCAGGCAAAATAATGAAGCCGTGGATGCAGGACACAATTAAGAGTTATAGGAGGGTAATAGGCATTAATTATATTTTTTCCTTTGCATCATTAAGGGACAGTAGCTCAAAATACACGGCTTTGGGCCCCACTGCCAGACTGGATCATGCCCAAGGGCCCTCTGGCCAGTCTCCTGTCTCTGAGTTTCCAGACCAGCTACTTCAGAGGAAGGTGTCAGACCCCCCCCTCAACAGATGTGGGATGATCTGCCTCCACTTTAGATTTAATCCTGGACTCTACTAGTTAGAGATTGGATTGATCCCTCAAGCAGGAGGTTTAATATCCCTGCCAAAAAACCTATTGTCATTAACGATAGCAAGCCTGGATATTCTTGGTGTCCATAGAAACATCCAATCCCTTTTGGAATCTCATTAAGTTCTTGGCGTTAATAACTTCCTGTGGCAAAGCGTTCCACAGTCCGATCACACCTTACGTGAAAACTTATTTCCTGTCACCAGTTTGGAATTTGCCACCTTTTTAACTTCACTGAATGTCCCTGTGTTATGGCTCAGGGAGAACACACGCTACCCACCCACCTTCTCTAGACCAATCATTATTTTAGAGACTTTCGGCATGTCCTATTTGAACTATCTCCTCTAAGGCCTGGTCTACGCTTCAAATTGAGATCAACAAAGCTACGTTGTTAGGACGTGAACTAGTCACACTCCTGGGCATCGTAGTAATGCATCGTAGCAACCCGATCCCCAGAATTCTTCCACTGACCTACCTGCCACCTCTCAGCAAGATGCATTAACTACATCAATGGAAAAGCCCCTTCTGTCGCTGTAGGAAGCGTCTAGACTGGCACTACAGCAGCATAGCGAAGGCCCCATAGCTGTGTCCATGTAGCACCCGTTAGACATGCCCTAAACTAACAATGCCCATCTTTTCAACCTCTCTCCATAGGAGAATCTTCCCAAGCCCTTGATCCTTCCTATCACCCTTCTCTGAACCCCCTCTGGTGCTGCAATACCCATTTGGAGATGGGGTGACCAGAGTTGCACACTCCAGGTGAGGCTGCACCATGGATTTATAGAACATTCTATTTTCAGTGTTCTTCTCCATCCCATTCCTTACGCTTCCCAACATCAGCTTTGCTTTTCTGACCGCAGCCGCACACTGAGCAGAGGTCTCCATTCAGCTGTCCATAATCACAGAACTATAGGCTTAGAAGGGACCGCAAAGGTCATCTAGTCTAACCCCTGCCAAGGTGCAGGATTCATTGTGTCTAAACCATCCAAGACAGGTGGCTACCCAGCCTCCTTTTGAAAACCTCCAGTGAAGGAGCTTCCACAACCTCCCTAGGCGTCTGTTGCATTGTCCTACTGTTCTTACAGTTAGGAAGTTTTTCTTGAGATTTAATTTACATCTGCTACGCTGTAGTTTGAACCCAAGTCATTTTCCTGAGCAGACACTTAATTTAGACCTTGTAAGGTGGGAGTAGCTTTACTGTTTACCTCCAATGTGTGTTACTTTGCATCTAGCAACACTGAATTTTATCTGCCATTGTGTTGCCCATTCACCCAGCTTGTATAAGTCTCTTTGAAGTTCCTCACAGTCCTCTCTGGTCCTGACTAACCAAAATAACTTTGTGTCATCTGCAAATGTTGCTACCTTCTATATGAGGAGAGATTAAAGAGGCTGGGACTTTTCAGCTTGGAAAAGAGGAGACTAAGGGGGGATATGATAGAGGTCTATAAAATCGTGAGTGATGTGGAGAAAGTGGATAAGGAAAAGTTATTTACTTGTTCCCATAATATAAGAACTAGGGGCCACCAAATGAAATTAATGGGCAGCAGGTTTAAAACAAATAAAAGGAAGTTCTTCTTCACACAGTGCACAGTCAACCTGTGGAATTCCTTGCCTGAGGAGGTTGTGAAGGCTAGGACTACAACAGGGTTTAAAAGAGAACTGGATAAATTCATGGAAGTTAGGTCCATTAATGGCTATTAGCCAGGATGGATAAGGAATGGTGTCCCTAGCCTCTGTCTGTCAGAGGGTGGAGATGTATGGCAGGAGAGAGATCACTTAATCATTGCCTGTTAGGTTCACTCCCTCTGGGGCACCTGGCATTGGCCACTGTCGATAGACAGGATACTGGGCTGGATGGACGTTTGGTATGACCCAGTATGGCCGTTTTTATGTTCTTATGTACCTCATTCCTCACCTCCTTTCCAGATCAATAAATATATAAGACAACACAGGACTCAGTATGGAACCTTGATGTCTCCACCGTTCACCTTTTGCCATGATAAAAGTTGACCATTTAACCCTACGTTTTGCTTTCAGTTTTCAGGCCAGTTTTTGATCCATGACAATACTTTGCCCCTCACCCTGTGACCACTTAGCTTCTTTGTCCCTCACAAGAGGCTGCTCTTGTCAAAGGCCTTTTGGAAATCTAAATAAATGATGTCTGCTGGTTCTCCTTTATCTGCTACTTTATTGACACTTTCACTAATCTTCAGAATTCTTTGAAACACGATTTTCCTTTGCAAAATCTCTGCTGGTTCGACCCTGTCAAATCATGATCTTCCAAATGTGTTGTAATTTTAATTATTAATACAACTAATTTGCCTGGCACAGATGTAAAGTTCACAGCTTGGCAGTTCCCTGGATCACCCCTAGAGTCTTTTTAAAATATAGATAGAACATTTGGTACCTTCCATTCCTCTAGAACAATGGCTGGTTTTAATGAAAGATCACAAAGTTCTGTTAGCTGTTCAGCTACTCATACCTGAGCTCCTTCGGGACTCTTGGATGGACCATCTGGGCCAGGTGCCTTGTTAGTCCGATGATCAGTTTGCTTCCGCACCTCTCCTTGTGTCACCTCAGTCTCTGAGAAGACCTCTCCGTGGTTTCCAGCAAAGACTCCCACATGTGGCCCCTGGACTCATTTGTATTCCTTTGGATTAGGTGTGGCGGAGAATTTCACAGGCCATAGTCAGCCCTGTGCTATATTAGTGATGGGAAGTCTGCATCAAGGCAAGGTATCCAAGCAAGCTTCTCTTCCAGGGGACTTGCAGCTGGTCAGTGCAGTCCAAACGTGGTGAATAGTGGCCAGGAAAGATGCCCAGTTGACGACTACGTATCCCAGAGGTAGCCCCCATTGACAGGTCTGCTGTAATGCCCTGGGCTTGCTTCCAAGTTGCAGGGAGAGAAGTGTCTCATCCATTTGCAGCCTGGATAAAGATGATAGGAACATGTCCTGGTGCCAAGGCAGATGTCACAGTGCGGCTACAAAGGGTCCTAAATTAATGCTGGGAATTCCAAAACGAGTCACCCGAAAGACTGACTTGGTAACATCAACAGTAACTTCACAGGCCTGGGAAGGGAACAGAAGACAGAGGAGATGCAGATTAACAGAGACCCTTCTTTATTATTATTTACTTTGGGGTAGCCCCTAGGAGCCCCAGTCAAGGGCCAGGATCCCCATTGAGAGGCGCTGTACAAACACAGAACTAAAAGATGGTCCCTGCCCCAAGGAGCTGTCATTCTAAGGAACAACACTACACTTCTAACTTCTGGTACCAAACTACATGTGACTAAAAGGGTCAGAGCAGATGTGCCCTGCCAGGAGCATGAATGATTTGAGAATTGTGGATTCTCAGAATGTTACAGTAGCTTCGGTGGTGACAGCCCGTTTGGATTGATGGCCTCAATTTTAAACAGATGCGCTAGAGACATGTCAGCTGGAAGGTCCTTTCAGCCACAAGCGAGAAGTTTTAGCTGCTGTGGGACAAAATGCTAAGAGTAACGTACTACGGTGTCGCTGCACAAACACAAGAAAGATGCTAAGTGACTATGATTTACTGGATCTAACGGGAATTGCTTAGATGTTGCACTTCCCTTGCACCTGTTTTCTCCAGCTACCCACTGATTCCCAGGTGTACCAACACCTATCAAGCTGTGCATCTGATCTAAAAACTATCCCACCTTCTTGTTGGAGGCTGTAGTTACTGGGCTGTTTAAACACAGACACACACGCACCAGGATGCCACAGAAGCCCTTGTGAAACTGTCTCCTCACCCTCCTATGGTCATGGTGTGCACAGGAAAGTTACACTCTCCACACAAGAGTCGTGCAGCGTCCTCCCTACCTTGCTTTCTGTCAGGTGTAATCAAATAGTGCAATGCAGCCACGAGTATCCAGATCACCACTGCTGTCACCTCACTTTGCTGCGCTGCGGCAAGTCCCCACTAGGTGTCAGCATTACACCACATTCTAGCCCACTAATGATGATATCCCACCTCTCTCTCCCCCCCACCCCCGCAAATCTCTTTCCTAAGCAGAACGGCTGTAATAATTTTTGTCTCTCCTCCTCTAAAAGCTGTTCCATATCCTTGATCATTTCTGTTGCCTTCTCCGAAGCTTTTCCCGTGATCAGAACTGGACCCAGTATTCACTGTGTGGGTGCACGAAGCATCCAAAACAGAACTCCCAGTTAAAATCAATCACAGAAAAGGAATTTCTTTGTCCCAAGCTCTATATAAGGAAAGAGCACTGGGACGTTAAGTCAGAAGCAGATCAAGCTGCTCTCACTTCTCCAGTGATCACATTCGTAATATACGTAATTCCTTTCAGTATGGTGCTGCATTAATCGAACCAGCTATCTGACATCTCAGATCATTAAATCTGAACACACAACACTATGATAACGATGCCTAGTGGCCTTACAATCTAGGATGGTTTAATGTCTTTACTATCCATTGAGAGAAACAGCCTATAGGGTAGGAGGTTCCTGTGAGAGCTGAAAACACAGAAGTCCTACTGTCAACAGGGGTGGAAGTGAGGAGAGGCCTAATTCTGTGGTAAATTGCAGGGTATTTCCTAGGGATTATGGGGAAAATGCTACAGGGATTAAGTATTGATTTTATTGGGGGAAGGAGGGATTGTTAAAGACTATTAAAGATTTTTTTCTCTTTATACAGTATAGCGACCAAATAAAAACCTGTAAACTGCTGCCACCCCATTCTGTGGCCCTTGGTCCATTTTACTCCTTTCTTCCTAACTCCGTTGGATTAGTCTGTAGGATGAGCTCTTGGGCAATACTAAACCAACAGTTACACGGCAGAAGGGGCTCACCTGGGATGACTGGTGGAGCACTGCAAGGTGTCTGCAACCCTAACTCCACTCACAGGACCTATCGGGCCAGCACAGCCCACTGACCACATTGGAGGTTTACTCCTTATTTCCCCTCCAAATAGTTTTTCTTGATGGTAAAATACTAAAATAATTAAGCAAGTAACGTCTGGGTGTTTCTATTGCCCTGTCCTCAGCATTCTGCTGCAATGTCGGTCAAGTTTATTAATAGTGGCTTAGCCACAGGCCAATGTGCAAAACCAAAATATAAAAATACACATAAATACAGATTAAAGAGAACATAAACCGATTAAACCATACAGAATCACCGCACCACCTGTCTTTTCCTTACTGTAGCACAGTGGTTCTCAAACTTTTTTACTGGTGACCCCTTTCACACAACAAGCCTCAGAGTGTGACCCCCCCCCCCTTATAAATTAAAAACACTTTTAAATATATTTAACACCAGTTATAAATGCTGGAGGGCAAAGCAGGGTTA